TGCAAAACAAAACGCTAGGTTACTTATACTAATCATTGATGATTCATATCATACTGTCATCCTGAAGAAGGAAAAATAAAGGTCCAAATGTGTGTCGAACAGGCTTGTGCTTATGTAAATAAGCAAATCGCAAGAAAATATTCCTGTAACTGTGAGCATATATATATAAATATATATTTATATATATTGAAGGAGAAAAGAAAAAACATTTTTTTTTGGCCTTTTATGTAAAAGTTATGTATTCATAATTCGATTTGGATTTAGTGTCTCCAAACTTTTCTAAACAATATTAATGAGGATCTAAGAAAGTTATTCCTGGTATGCCTGCCACAGATACAATGATATATACGCAACCGGTAAGCCGTAGCACACGGAAACCTAGGTAAACGAAAATGAAGCACAAAACTGTTCTAAACGCAGCATTATATAGGTATTATCATGAGAACTTAACGGTTTAAAGTTAGCATGTAGTTTTATATCGGTTATTAGCTACCAACTATCCTGGGTCTTACAGCTGTTTGTGGTTTTTTTCCGTTCGGTTACGTATTTAGAAACCTAGCTTACAAAAGTCTGCGTTCTAGGAAGGAGTCTCTTAGCCAAACCATGCTGATTCTATTTCTAGCAAACACTATTTTAAGCATAAGGAAAAACATCTTTTGACCTGGAGACCCTCATAGTCGTCTCAACGTCGGACCCAACAAGATCATATCGCCACCAGCCACCGATGGAGAGGGTCGATAGAAGACTGTCGCTCGTTCTGGGGAACATGTCTAGATTTAGATCATGCCCTAGTGCGAGCGCGTATTTGTTTGCGCCTTACTGGACGCCAGAAAAATATCGCAAGAAAACCTCTTAGAGTTTTCTTTAATGATAATCAAGCTAAGAAAATATTTCAGGAGGAACTAGAAAAACAGTTGGGCGACCATGCAAGTGATTCCCATCCGGAAGCAGGTTGGAATGACATCAAGAAGGCTGCGGAAATAGCAGTGATATCTGCTAGTAAGGTAAACCATAAGTTTAGGATGAAGCCGTGGATTTCAGTAGCATCCACCGAACTGATGGATGCCCGAAAACTCATCCCACCTGGCTTTGAACATGATGAAGAACGAAGTCAACTTAAGCGCAGACTTATAAAAAGCCTACGTAACGATCGCGAACAGTGGTGGGTGGCGAAAGCAAAAGCGATGGAAAAGCAAGCGGCGATCGGCAACAGTAGACAACTTTTCCGACTTATCAAGGAAACTGGTATTAGGAATCCTAGTGTAAGTGAGACTATCTCAGAAAATGACGGGACTATTATTTATTCTCAATCCAGGAGACTGGATCGATGGGCAGAACACTTTAGGGATCAGTTCAACTGGTCTCCAGCCACACTTCGGTTGCCCACGATCTTCAGTCATCCTGAATGGCAAATCGATTTTGGTCCTCCTAGTCTACATGAAGTTGAGAAAGCGTTAGGAAATCTAAAGGGAGGTGGATCAGCAGGTCCTGATAGGCTTACCCCTGAGATGTTCAAGAATGGTGGTCCAGGTATAGCAGCTAGGTTGACTGAGATCTTAGGTAGAATCAGGGAACTGGACATAATCCCATCTGACTGGTCCCAATCACTGATTGTCCCAATCTATAAGAAGGGACAGAAGTCTTCTTATGACAGTCACAGGGGAATAAGTCTAACTAATATAGTATCTAAATTGTTAGCCTCCATTATACTTAGACGTCCAACTAGAACTCGTGAAGAGCAAACTCGAGAAAACCAGTCTGGTTTCCGACCTGGACGTGATTGTATAGACCACATCTTCACACTACGACAGGTCCTGAAACACAGACCACACATTAGGGCGTCCTACAATAGTTGTTTTCCTGGACCTAAAAGCGGCATTTGACTCAGTGTATCGTGAGGTTCTGTGGCAGTGTCTGTCATTGAAAGGTGTACCAAAGAAGTACATTAACCTCATACAAGCTCTCTACTCGAACACCACTGGTCAAGAGAGAGCTTATGGCTAACTGTCACCGGAATTATCCACTTCAATTGGTGTCCGTCAGGGATGTCCACTCTCTCCATTCTTGTTTAACTTTGTCGTAGACATCCTCTTAGAGTTAACATTAAGCTCGTCAGATTTTTCAGGGGTTGACCTTCTACCAGGAAAATCGCTTACTGACCGAGAATATGCCGATGACAGTTCTATTCGGTGAAGACGCTGACAAAATGCAGTCTTCTGACCACCCTAAGCAACAATTCAAGCACTTATCTTGGGAGTCTCATCAGAGCTGATAGTCTGATGACTGACGAAATCTCAGCTCGGATACAGAACGCTCAATTTGCTTTTGCCAACCTGCGTCACTTATGGCGAAGGCGAGATATCCGTTCGCTGACTAAAGGACGAGTGTACTGCGCAGTAGTTCGCTCTCTTCCACTATATGGATGCGATGCATGGCCGTTAAGAGTAGAAGACATTCGTAGGTTACTAGTACTCGACCATAGATATTTTGGAATCATTTCTCGTATATCGTGAGACAACTGAGTAGGCAATGCTGTCGTTAGGAAACGATTACTAGGTAAGGACGGCAGATCAACTGATGCAGTATTGAAACTTCATCATTTGAGGTGGTTGGGACATGTGTTACGTATGCCTAACCAGCGACTGCTTCGACATGCGATATTTTGTGGTGTAGGAGTAGGTTGGAAGAAAGCTAGGGGCGGTCAGAACAAAACATGGCAGAAATCCATGAAGTCATTGACAAGTGGACTTAGCCATGTCGGTAGTTGTAGACTACCTGGTTGGGGTCCGCGAGATGATAATAATCGATGGTTAGACACGGCTCAAAACCGTTTGCAATGGCGCCGGTGCATTTATTCCTTGTGTTCTCTCAAATCCTAATCTTCTGAATTCTTCTACCCCTCTAGTTTTGACTTTCTAAACTTTTCTCACTGAATCATATTTCTTGAATATCTTCTAATCTTAACCTCTCCGATAACTCCTAATACCTTTACTACATCCTCTACTCTTAGATTTGAGTTGACAATTATATCTCTGTGCTGATAAGGTATGGAAACATGAACTGATGTACTTACGTACAAAGTTCTACGTTGCATCTGACTGACTGACACATGCCGAACAGGAGCAGTGACACAATAAAATGAATCACTAAAAAGGGTCAGTCATGTTTAAATAGTCAGTGCGATTTCAGGGTTGGTGGTTAAATGATAAGTGTAAAAGTAACGACGAGTTTAGAATTAAATGACTCTTTTATAGTGGGCATTTAACACAAATGTTATTGATCAGTTCACATTTATCGAATGAGATTAACAATGTCCTTTTATAACATTCTGTATTTATAGCAATATAATAAAGGAAGATTTTTCTTCGGGATCAGACGTATATCTAATGCGACTCTCGTTAAAAAGTTCAGACGTTAGCGAGATATCGTATGAAAACGCCAAGACAATCTATATGCAAAAAGGTTTTAGAGTCTATGATTATCGGACCCAGAATTCGGACGTTGATAGCCTCACAGTATCACTCTTCTGAGGTCAGTAATTCAGAAGATCATAATAGTCAAAATTCTCGTATGGTAACGTAACAAGCGCTCGAAAGGATACAGTTGACGTACTGATCCATAATTTTTCCCAACTGATAAAAACTCTTGTCACGACCTAGTTATTACGATAGGGAAAAATTCTTATCATTCAAGGCACGAAATTCTACCTGAAGAGAAGTAAAGGTCATAAGAAGAACCTCACAAATGGAATTGAAAGAAATATGTTGAGATTGTACGCAACCAGTACACAAAATCCAAAAGACTTGTCGAGGGAATGAATGGTTAAGCAAAACAGATACATACAAACAAACTAAAAGTACAACTGAAATTACTGAAATCAAAGTAGGTAAAATCTTGAATGCCATTTTATGTATTTTAGCTCTCCTCTTATAAACTTTTGGTGGCGCGCCGAGTCAAAATCGGCTATGATCACCACCACCAGTACAATCGGTTATGATAATAAATGTTTCCGTTAAACCCATCGCGTTCTCTTCACAAAAGTGGATTCACCACAATTTCACTTCTCGTCGTAGGAAAATCAAACCGTCATTAGATAATTTTAAATGCTAGTAAATTGAGCTGTGACCGGTTTTATACCTTCATATTTAAGAATTGAGTGGATAATTAATAAATAAATGAGGATACACTATCAGCACATCTCATCACTACCATTAGGCTTTGAAAGATACGTGTTCCGAAAACTAAATAAAACTGGTTTAATAGTACATCTAACTATTGAGGTAACCACAAAAAGACTTAGATATACTAGGGTGCATTTAAAAAACCAATGGTGTTTCATCGACGATATACTTCGAACCTTAGAGAATGCAAAAAGACTGGGATATCACAAGGATGAGGTGCGGATCAGCTAGGGTAAAGGGTTAGACTAAATTAATTGAAAAGAATGTAAAGCTGAAATCTTCAGAATTATTAAAGCATGCTCGTTAGTCATCACCGAACTTTACTGAATAATGAACAGGTCAGATGACAACACCAGATGATGTCATGTGGTTGCAACTAAAACAAGTTAAAGGTCTTGGGAATGTAACTTAGTTCATTTCAATTCAGCAACAACAGAATCATTTCGACAATCCGAACATCACTTCTTTAACTAAACTTAACCGTTGGCTGTACTACTGACTTTAATGATTACCATGGATGGTAGAATTGTATTTAATATCTTGCAGCCCGCAATCGTAACGTGGAGATGTTAAGAACCTACCAACTTTCCGGAAATTTAAACAAAAACAATATTCTCCCTCTGACAGTTTGCAACCTAGGCTTCACTATGGCTTAGTTACAAGACTTACTTTGAACGTATAATTACTTCAGAAGATAACATTTGGTCTTAATCCCGTCTAATTAACCAAAGAAAAGTTTTATGAATAGGTTTTATATTAAAGTAAATTACATTTCATAAGAAAATTTTATAAATACAGAATGAATTTGAAAATCAAGTAGGATGTGACAGGATACTATATTTGGAATGTACATTTTTAGTACTGATGAAAATAAATATATACAAATCACGAACTGTAACAAGAAAAATAATTTTTATGTGTAGGTAAATATTATCCAGGATTCCAAAAACTCTTATCAACAAAACCGATCCGGTCAGGGAGTGTTTCGATACTTTTGAACTTTTCAAGTAACGACATTAATTGTAGTTCTGGTAATGACTGGCGTAATACAGGTGATTTATCTACAATCATACTGATAGTATTTAAAAGACGCTTTGCTTGATTCCCATAAAGATTCACAAATACTGAACCTCCAATTTCTAATATACCATGTAAAACCTGTAGAATTAAAAACAAAGTTAATTACAAAATGTACTGACAACTTAAATGTAACGGCATAAATGTACAGAAAATATCAAGAAACTGATAGTGAATTTATCTAATATGATCTAGTCATCTTTAGTGTCAGTATGTTTACAGAGAGTATGAAAGGGTAAGAAAGTCATTCACATGTTATCAAACAAATTAATCAAGCCAAATAACATCCTTTCAACATCAGTAAAATACGTACATCGATTAACGACAAACTGTTTAATTATGTCTATATCTCTAAACAAACATAGTGAAGCCCCAGGAACACTAAAAGCTTATTCCATGAAGATTTTTCAATAAACTCTTTATTTAAACTTATCAGATAGATGAACACTCGGAATGATCGAACATTGTGGGAAACCGGAAGAGTTATCTAAGCTTCGAGTGGACAACATTGGATATGAAGACAAAATAGGACAACATGGGCTGTGAGAAAAGAATGAAAACGCTAAGAGATTCACAAATCTATGTACCTTCAACAAAACGACGGTAGATGAAATCACATTCCCAAACAAATGCGTACACAAGGTTACATGAGTTTCGAAAGATCACACTAAACAGAACCAAACCGACAACATATACATCAATTAAAAGTTCAGAAGCACCGTACAAGACGTTAGAATCAAGAAAGCAGCTGACACAGCTTCAGATCATCACTTGGTAGTGGCCAGGATGAAACCGAAACTGAAGAAACACCGGAAAACGGGGCGAACAGTATCGGGATAATCGCAAACTCGACGAATTTAAGAGAGCCATATGCAGTATGTTCCGAGCCTCTCGCAATCTAATCAACGTAAGGGATAACATCATGGAAAATAAATGGAAAGCGATCGATGAAGCAATAACGTCAACATATCATGGAGTGTTGAGCCACAAGAAGCACTATCACCAGGAATGAATCTCTGCTGGTACTCTGGACAAGATTCAAGAAAGGAAGAACAGAGAAACGACAATCAATAACAGTCGAACAAGAGCAGAGAAGACCGAAGCACTGGCCGAACACATAAAAGCAAACAAACAAGTGAAGAAGAGCGTTAGAAATGATAGACCTAAATATATGGAAGATTGAGCAATGATAGAAGAAAACGCAGCAAGGGAAGGAAACATGCAACAACTATATGATGCAACGAAGGAGATCACTGGAAAATATCCTAAACCAGAACAATCAGTCATGAGCTAAAGCGGCAAATATAAACGGATTTCGGACAAGGCTACGTACTCCCACTCATTCTCTTTCTTCTGATGGTTGACAGAATTATGAAGACGTCGGTATCTCAGATGAAGCATGGAATACAGTAGATAGCTCTGATGTAGCTGAACGATTCGAACTTCGCAGATGACTTAGCTCTTCTGTCCCATACACACAACAACAAATACAGGTTAAGATGGGCAGTGTAGAAGCAGTCTCAGAAGTAGCAGGACTCAGCATACAGAAGGGGAAAAGCAAGATTCTCTGATGCAGTACAACATGCACCAGCCAAATCACACGACGGAGAAGCTTTGGAAGATGTAAAAAACCTTTATATCTGGGCAGTCTCATCGATGAGCAGGGTGGATGTAATGCGGATTTGAATGCGCGAATGGATAAAACAAGGGCAGTATTTCTACATCTGGAACTCAAAACAGTTATCGACCAACACCGAAGTCAGAATTTCTTATACAAATGTCAAGACAGTTCTACTGAATGGGATGGAAACTTGGGGAACTCTAAAAGCCATCATCCGAAAGATACAAATGTTTATTAATAGTTGTTTACTCAAGATACTGCGGATCCGTTGACCAGACATCATCGGCAACGATCTACTTTGGCAGAGAACACAACAGATTCCAGTCGAGTAAGAAAATGAAAAAAAGCGCTGGAGGTAGATAAAACACGTTGCGGAAATCACAAATGTATCACGAGGTAACCCTAAAGCGGAATCCTCAAGGCCAAAGGAGGAAGTAGACCAAAGACCACACTGTGCCAAGAATCGGAGACATACATGAAAAGAATGAACGGCGATTGGGGTAGTACTGGAAAGAAAGAAAACCGTATCTTCTCCAACCACATACATTTCACCTGGCATCAACTTCTTCATAAATTACACCACCACTACAATTCCACGGAGGTGGTAATAGTACTGTCCTATATGACACACTAGTTAGAGCGATTTAAAGGACTTTTACGCAGCTAATCTTACTTTTCATTGAATATCTCCACTGAGAAATAAAAAAGAAAAGTTGAACCAAGAAATATTTCCCTCAATTATTTCTTCATCAGGGCTCTACAATAATATATAGATTTTACAAAGGAGTATACAAAGTCAATACCAATGAACTGGTGGTTAGTCAATTGACTATGTATTAGTGTACAGACCTAAAAAATATTTCTTGGCTCAACTTGTTTTTTAATGTTACCTTATTCTTCCCTAGTGGACCAGTGGTGTCGTCTGTTCGAACTAAGGATAAGTTGACTGATTTTTTTCCCTTGACATGCACTAAAAAATGTAACTGGTCCTGTGTAGAAAGCTATAATGAGCGTAGCAACAGGTAATTTAACCAAAGAATAAGTGAATATCTCTCTGGATGGTTTGGAAACGGTTAAACGAAGATAATACATAAGTGTACAATATCAACCTTAGTCGACAGCGGTCATGCCGTATGTAAAAGCAAATCATCTTGAGTGATCCACCATATACCTCTGTCATTTTCCAATTAGGTTTGGCCTTGTCTCTTATATGTCGCCTCCCTGAAAGGGTGACTTACTAAACGACTTTATTAATTGTTCACATCCTTTGTTTTTCTTCGCCTCTTTAGTATATATTTGCCGACTCTATATGTACACTTAATACGTAATTCTAAATAATAGTTTAATATTTATTTTTCTAAGGTTTTACCTAGATATTATCACTACTGGTACACTTGTCATCTTACTACAAATTCGTACATTTTACTCATGCTTAAAATGATGTAATCTATCATGAACTCACAGACAGACTTCATTAGTCCATTCGTTTTAATACATGCATCTAAACATTACTCTATATTAAAGTCAACCTAAATCAAGACATAATTGGCTACAATGTTCTCCATATGTATGTGTTATTCCGATTGATCTGGTGGAAAACTTAAATATTTCAAACATTTGTCAGAATAAATTGAAGGAAACTGATTTATATCTAAATTAATTGAATTATTTAACGATTAACTTTTAATTATTATTTATTACAGAATTTTATTCAACTGAAGAATTGTCGCCTAAACACAAAGTCCTAGTCAACCGATCAGTACAATAAAATGCGTTGAAAATGAAATAAACCCTATAATGTAGTATTTGGCGACTTAGTATCCAGAGTACAAGTGGATGATGTTGGGTTTTTGTCAAGAAAACCACATGTTCAAGACCGTAAAGATAAAAAACTGGATCCATATGAACTACTGAAATCGAATTCGAAACATGATAGAATAAGGTCTATTACAGTATTTTAACTTACTACAGGAATTCCAGCTTAGAGAATTTTATAAAAACTCCTAGAAATCTCAGAAATGTAAATACTCACTTCAGCAGTTGCACAAGGAATAAATTCTTGATTTACGATCCCTGCTATTACTCGCCAAAGGAGTGAAGGATTCAGGAGTTTGTGTCGTGATACCCCAAGGTGTGGAGGTGGATGTGCCAATAAAAGTGCAGTAAACAAACGAGCTATTCCACGCCAATTAGATAGAATATCAGCAGTTGAAAACATTTCTTCCAGCAAGTTTAAACCACTTGGATCACAAAATAATCCTAATGCTGGACAAGCCAGGAATATTCGACCAAAGAATTCAAACTTACGGAACAAAAAACCAAATAAGTTAAAATATATATATATGTTATGTAGAGTAACACAAACAGTCGCATAAAATTAATTCGAAAATTCCGATGATAAGAAATCAATTTTATTTAGGACTCCTGTTTTAATATTTATCTCTGTTCCGAAAAAAAGCAAGGAGATAAAATCACCCGTAATACTGACCACTTAATAAATAAGTGTAATTTAAACCAGTTTGAATTATCTTTTTCTCGACATAATGTCGAGAAATGGATAAAGACATGAAAAAAATGAACAGAATTTGGACAGAACTGTAGTATAGAGTAGGTTGGAGAATACTGATCGGCTATCTATGCTCCATTAGAGATAACAGGCGTAAGTAAGTAATTTAAATCAGTTAACAGAAAATTCACAAAATAAAATAGGTTCAGAATATTTAGTGCTTAATAATTAATCTTCAAGGGAATGAGTATGATATATACAGTATTGATGGAAACAAAGATTCAGTGATTTTGAGATTCAGTGACTTTGAACGGCGAACCACCCAACAACTTGTACAATATACTGCCATCAAATCTAAATCAAACTGAAAAGAAACAGTTTGGCAGGAAATAAACTCTTTTTTAAGTTGAAGTAAAAATCTATCAGAGACTTAAACCAGAAACAATCATGTATAAACCATTTTAAACTTAGATAAAAACTAGGAGTAAAATTTGAAAGCACTGTAATTGATACAAACTGATAAATTTGTTTTATTTTTCTTCTAACAAAGTTATTATTTATATTTAGTTTCTGCCTACAGACAAATTTAAAAAATTCCTAGAATCACGTAATCAATGATATAGAACAACAGTTAAGCTTGTTAGATTCGCATTGACTATCAACAAAATGGCTCTGTTAGAGAAGTATGATTGTTAAAACTCAAAATAGAATCAGCGCCATATTGATAAAGGTAAGCGCAAATATAATCTAAACAAAAGTGTGTATGGGTAATTAAGTATACAGGTATAGAGCGAGGAGATGGTCCATCACGAACCAACTATCATTGTTTGTTTGAATAAAGTAAGAACAATTAACATAGCAGAATAATATAAATTCATTATACTTAGCAGTTTCTCATCAGCTGTTTACAACCTAAACATAATATTATTAACTGTTGAAATCAGCTTACGTTCTCATCAGTGAATATTAATGAAACGAGAAATAAGTATTGAAGAACTATATTTATATACTAAATAAGTATTCTGTGATATGATGATATAAAGTATGCACGCTAAGTTTGATGATTAGTAGTGTTATGCTTAGATTATAAGTAACTAATGAAAGAAATACAATAAATTCGTGTTATTCTGCTACGTTGATCGGTCTTTATGTGATCAAATTTATTAATGGGGAAATTTTATGAAATGACATCATCAAATATCTACCATTATGGCTCGATTCGGTAGTAAATGAGCAAAACATGGAGGTTCTTAATCGGAACAAATCTTATATCGATGAGCGTTGAGAGCCTCAAGGGAATTTTTAATCAAGAGAAAACAGCTATCATGTGTCTCCCGAGTGTTGGGTCGTTCCTAAGGTAATCTCGACTTATTGCCGAAGTCTACAAACGAATTAAATGTTCAGAAAATTACAGAATAAATCTTCATAAAATTAAACAAAAAATTAGGTAAATCAATACATTCTAAATAAAATAAGGAAAAATTACCAGCTTGTGAGGAAACAGTGCAAAAATTCCAGAAAGTAAAGAAGCATAGACTAACGTTATGTCGATGTTATAGGCGAATTGTTTTTCTGCTTGAGAAATGGTGGAAGAATAGAGGCAATGCCATGCAAAACTGTCAATCAATTGATTGGTACTTTTTGATTCATCAGATTTTGTTTCATTTGAACAATCAGTGATCGTGGTGCGTCTAAAAATATTTAATAGACATTCTAATCTACCAATACAATGAGGTGGATCATGTGAACTGATCTGAAATAAACAAAAAATAATGGGAAGTTGAGGATATACTTAGTTGTGAATACTTCAAAATTGAATAATTGATTTAATGTGACATGGGGCAGTCGATAGATTGTTAGAGATATAGAATCCTCAAATACAACAAAAGAGCAAAGAAACCAGTTCACACTCCGACTAAGGGTAATTCTCGTTTAGTCAATTTTCAGAACATCTTGATTGTACTAAATTATTCAGCATGAATTCTATCCATAGAATTGCAGTTGTAATTAGTTATTTGACTTTTAATGCACCTTTTCTCATTTATTAATTCGCTGATTATGTGTTTAGTGAATAATGCTGTTTAAACAAATTCTATAATTATTGATCATTCAATACTTGGTATATAATCACACATACTAACAAAATAAAAAAGCGTACGAAAATTATCAATCCTATTCAGGGGTTGGATCAAAGATCAATTAAAAATGTCGTATACAATAGATGGAGAGTAAGTTGCGTAGTATGATGAGACTAGATTGTGAAAATGAAGTGCATTAGGGAAAGGTATGGAAATGACAGTAAGTTTATTTGTGTTGAGAAGGAATACTAAGGCAATGAGAGGGTGATTTGTAGAATCCAAAACAAAAATTAAGCATTTTTAGGTTAAGTAAATAGTAAAACAAAAAGTTGAACGAGTCTTTTAATGCGAACAGTTCGAGTTTTAGAAACCAAAATTAAAAAAATACCACTTTTAAGCAAAACAAAGACAATATTTGTAGAATACTATGTATTTAATGTAATGTGTTGCTTCCTTTTCTAACTAAACACAAGCTACTAATTAGCTCGAACTATTAGCATGATCGTGAATAAAGAGATTAGCAGTTGACGACAACCACGACAGCCCACCATTCGTTTAAGAACAGTTCAAACTAAATAAATTTGGTGTGCCATTGAAACCAATTATCTTCACGATTAATCCTTTCCCTAGACTGACCCGATGGTTAGTTAACAAATTAGGACCAATGCATACGTATTCGGGAGTGTATAGTTAAAGGGACGATTCGAATTCACAGAAATAATGATAATAATGGCTGTATTGAAAATTATGTTTAGCACGGAATATTTCAACAAGTTTCTTTTACAAAACCAACAAGAATACAACCAATAACTGCATACATAAATACATTTTAAAAAATTAAGTATACAAACTGTCCTTTTTTCATATGATGAGAATCTATACAATTTCTAGCTAGGAACATGTTTAGGGATATAAGTTTTAGACTAAGTCATCTCTAACCGCCTGTTCGTCGCACAGTATATTTGCTAAATAAGGTATCGTAGAGTTTCCATACTTTTCTTGCGTGCACGGATTCTAATGTATTGGCATCTTGTTCTGTCAGAAGATATACAAGGCGAAAAATATGAATGTAGCGGACGGTTAGTATTAGATAGGATAACACTTTCCATGAATTTTCAATCATGCAAATTTCTACTCACCAACATATTCATGACGACTTTAAAAGATTAGCCACGAACTCTGCTAACCACCCTTAGCACTCTTCGCAACATGGTAAAATATTTTCTCAAGAGTCCGGGAAAGAATAATGGGGAACAGTAAATGATAACAGATGATACGCAAGAGTTTACAAAGCGTAAAAGTAAGTGTCCAGTAGTGCCAAAGACATGTAACCTCTTCATATGATAAATCACATGAAAAACTTTCTTGGACAACATTAGAAGACCAAATGAGATCAGGAGAAAAAATTACGCCAAGATAAATTACCTTTGACGCCTTTCATTGTAGAATCTCTAATGGTAAAAACCTCATGAGATTCGAAGTCTTGTTAATGTCTGAGGCTAAAGTTAACAGCTTAACATTTAGAAAGATTAAGTGTGAGACAATTAACGATAGATCATCGTTCAGTGAGCGACAGGAGCATATTTATTTTCAGAGAGATGTGAAGCAGAAATCGGTGCAAACACATGCACCAACTAACACATGTAGTGATGATGATGATGATAATAGCACATGTCTATTATCTCAATCCTAAGTATTTATTCCTCAGAGAAAACGAACATAAAGATAACAGTTTAAAGTCTCAAGAAGCCAGATATATACTCAGTATGGTATCGATGAAACAAAGCAACGTCTTTGACTTGGATTCACTAATGCTCGACCGGCTAAATTAATTAAGGCCTTATATAATGATACACTGACTGAAGATAGTATATGAAATGATTAGCAAGTGGGGTAAATGTAAGATACCAGAATGAAAATAAAAAACGGAAGCTACAAATTAGAACTTCGTATTTCCTATATAAGTGGTGAAACAGGAAATACATTACTACCACGATAGATGCGGGACATGGCGCACGTGAGTCCACTCTTTGTGTTCCCTCGAATTCTAATCCGAACTCCTCATGACCTTCATCTTTTTCTTCTCTAATTTGTCTCACTAGATTATACTTCTTGAAAAATATCTTCAAACTACAATCTTTCCGATTAATATTCATGCTTCTACTGCCTCTACCACTATGGGATTTGAATCAACAATTGCGTCTCTGTGCTGTGGTATGGCAACTTGAGCCGATGTATATAGGTACGAAGTTCTGTGTTGATTCTGACAGACTGACGGACATTTGGGACGTAGATAATAGCTTTTCGCAACATAACTTGAAACTAGTTAACCAACGATTCTCTACACGTCTCACAAACTTTATAAAATAGTTTACTAGTTAGCTTCAGTGATAAATAGATAAGTAAAAATTTGTTTATCACAATTAACTTACCTGACTACACGCACAAGTAATATCCTGCTTTATTTTTAAAGCATCTTTTTTGAACTTTGAATCCCACAATGAAGGATAAAGTATATTTGTATAATTTTCGAGCAGTGCACGGGCCTTCAGAAAAGTTGGAAACACCTTTGAAAACAAAGATAAAGCCGACATTATAATTTACATAAAATAAACTGATTAGTGGTTTTTCACAGTAGCAGTCACACTTACATGAACATTTTCAGACAATGAAACATCTGATACAGTGCTTATTGTTGACTGTGATTGCTTTGTTTTTGGAAGACCTGTGGAGGCAAGAGTTTTGCAAGCTAGAAGACATTCCTTAGCTTGAAGTTCTAATTTTTTCATAATTAATTCCATTTGATAATCCATAGTTCCGTCACAATCATCAAAAATAGGAGATGGTGAAATCATTAAAGTTAAAGCTCGAGTTTCAATTTCTTCGATTTCATTTACCAAATTATCCCATGAATCTAAAAGAATTAGGTACATTGATAAATATAGATAATCATGATATAAAACATTATTTGCATATTGCAAACGAATAATTGTGCACTTGATTTCGTAAAAGATTTCGAGATCCATCATATGTATGTGAAGAGAATATTGGGTAAGCAGCCAGGGAGAATCAAGTAAAGTTTAATTTGAACTCATAAATGGTAGTAGAAAAACCGAAAAATATGAAAATTTTTAAAACTCTACCAAGGCGATATGTATAAAGCTGCAAGGCACGAGTATAATTAATCCAGGTTAGTGATATTATCTAATTATTGCAGGTGGAGTCTCGATGCTCAACTGAGATAATGAATACGCAGATACTAATCTTAGTAATAGATATCTATACGAAGGGGGGGTTACAATAAGTGAAAGTGATCCCATACTTTAGAGGAATGTTGATCGGTCTCGTGACTGCAGTCTATGACACAATAAGCATCAGAACTTACACTAATGGTTGCGTGGAACTACGAATAAAATATACAAAGGAAGTACAGAGTGGTGCAAAACGCTAGTAGCAGTGGAGATGACCTAGGAGAAGTAGTTTACGTTAAAGTAACTCGATGTATGGTTTTGAAATCATATTTTCGCTCATTTTGAGCTGATAATAAACTAGTACACAGAAATAACAAATGGGTTATTGATAGAAGCGACTAACAAAGGCAATCAGTGATCTATCACACATGGAAACAGGTAGTAAGTTCATAATGAGTAAATTATGTACACTGCTTCAATATCAAAATTTTTTGTGTAAATGTTGATGTAACGAATCGCTTAGAAACAAACTAGTTATCGATTCCGGAACATTACTAAAGAGACAGATATAAGATTGAAAATTTTGGTCCAAAATCAGAAAACTAATAAAACTATGGAAGTCCTCTTATAATTTTTCACAATGTTGAAGTAAAAGCAATTAGAATGAGCTAAAATAAGCGTCCTCATTTCATCGGCTGACTTACCAGTTGACTGAACACTTGTGATAGCGTCTGATTCATGACATTAAGACAAGAGCATTGATACGTAACGCTAAGGACTAATGTTAAGTAGCTGGAGACGGAAATTATGACTACTTTCAAAGCTCATATGGTCAATTTTCACTAGCTACTACCATCTTGTTCCAAAGTGAGACTGATCAATATGACTGGCCAATGTTGTCAGTGAAAGTTCCTCTTACGGCAAAACTAAATTCTGGAATTCTAACATTTTAGGTAAGTTATAAAATAAACAGAAATGGCTGATTGCGGAGGATCCGATTGAGTTAGTACGACTGAAACACGTACTGCAAACGTTTAACTACTCACTGGTAGAAGACGTTGAACAGGTTAAACTGACCGTGGAAGAGTATAGTGCGCAAACTATCGGTAGTGTAAGGAATCGAAAATGGGCAATGCGAATGAACACCAAGAATTAATCATCGACACCGCATAATTTAAATTATTATATATACGCACGAATACCGTGTTTACGGGAAGAAATAAGTGAATGGTTGCAGACCTGACTTGACATAATTTATTACGAAAAGTCCATAGAATATAGTCCTTAACTCATTTTTCCGGTTCCACAGAACATTTAGGGTTCTTGGGTTCCGTTGTTAACTTTTTTACTGTTTTATTTGTGTTGCAACATCACTCGTATATTATGGTGTATTAAAACACTAGCAATCATTGTCTTATCGATATATGAAATTCAACAACAGTTAGAAAACAAAAATTGCTATACCCTAGGTCATCAACAGGTCCAATGTTACCTTTAATGTATCTTAGGCGTGAACCCAGACATTTATCCCCTCATTTTACCTGGATTGATCGATTTGTCTACGTGACAAAAGAGTCCTTTAATATATGGAATAGATGTCAGAAGTGAATGGTAAAAGTAAAAACATTCAGTGCAACATACGTGAGGCAGACCCTGAATTTCGTGAGCGCAGGTCCACTACTTCAAGACGAACGTTAATAATGTTGTTGATGACATCGTTGAATGAATCCTGATTAGTTACTCTCCGAGAAAACCCATAGTAACCCATGCATGCTGTCGAAGGATATATTTCCGCCAGAATGGAATCTTTCGCGGCTTGAGAATTACTTGCAGAGACCTCTTTCTCTATTTTAGTATTTACATTCAGAGAAAGTGAAATGAATCTGTCCTCCAGAAGCTCTGTGATTCTTGCGATCGAACGTTGTGATCTGACAAGATCCTTTTCATAAGCTTTAACTGCATTGTTATTTTTCGCGACTGCAGAGACCCAAGCATCCTCAACGCCAAACAGATGACCCGTCTCGAAATCTAAACTCATGTGTTGATGTAAAGACAACAAACGAATCTCCGCACTTCCCACAACATCCAATATCCAATATCTTTTTCACGAGCTAGTGAAAACCAATTTGATTTCTTCGCGCTCGATTCTTGTTCTTTCGGTACGGTTCCAGGTGTACGGTAATGTCCAATGGATGGAGGTCTAGCCACTCGACTGTCTAATTCTATTCAGTTGGCAGTTGGTTGTGAGTTTGTATGCCTCGGGATTTGAATGAAACGTTTGTTTCAGGGCAGTAGGGTTTCTGGATACTAGCAGCCGTCACATTACCAAACCGAAGATCAGTTAGTTGCAATGTGGAGAGTAATAAGGGTAATAAGGATAAATTAAAATGATAATATGAGTAAAATTTCAGAACTGAGTAATATATAGATGAATTTAGTTTATTAATTGGTAGTGAAGATTGTGAGAGAGGACCGAAGTGTAAGCAAGGGAGAGGAATAGGCGAGATAGATTAATTAAGTGATCTGAGGAGATGGCAATGGTAACAACTAGCAGGTCTCAAGATATGCATCAGGCACAGCTTGTCCAAGAGGGAGATGATAGTCCGCATGTGAGTACGTGATTATCAAGTCTCTTCTTAAAGCAGTCCACTGAGGGGGCTGTAACTACCTCGGCTCGGAGAGCATTCCAAGTTGCGACGACTCGCAATGAGAAAAAGTGTGCACGAATCTGAGTGTTTGCTCTTCGATGTGCAATCTTTCGAGGATTGCCTCGAGGGGAGTGGTGGTGATGCATCGGTAAGATGCTCACATTGGGATGGTTGGGCGTGTTTAATATGGTGTACGCCATAATCAGGTCACCTCTGATTCTCCTGTAGCTCAGTGGGAATAATCCCAAGAGCTGGAGTCTATCGTCGTTGGGTTTATTTTTCAACCCTATCACCCATTTGGTTGCTCGTCTCTGCACTCGATCCAAGAGATTAATGTCTCTTTTAAGCAGAGGGGGTGCGATGACGTTGTGAACCTCCAAGTGTGGGCGCGCGTACGTCTTAAAGAGGGTTAAAAATAATTTCGGGGTTATAGCACCAAGCTGTCTTCGCATAAAGTGAAGAGTCGCGTTTGCCTTGGCTGCATCCCCTACATCGTTGGGACTCGTGTGGAGGCTTTCTGTGGTTATTAAACCAAGATCGTGCTCTGAGGAGACATTAGGGAGCGGACTTCCATTGAGAGTGTAGGTGGTTTGCGTCATATGAGGCAGGAAATGCATGACGTGGCACTTCGGTTGGTTGAGTTTTAAACCGTTTTTCACTGCCCATTCCTCAATGGATGTAAGGTCCTTTTGAAGCTCAGTCGAATCCTCTTCGCTTCTAATGGATCTCCAGATCTTCGCATCGTCTGCGTAGATCAGTGCCGGTGAGCTAACTAAGCTTAGCAGGTCGTTAATTAATATCAGGAAGAGGAGTGGGCCCAGGATGGTCCCCTGTGAAACTCCTGAAGTGGATACTCTCCAACTCGCGTGCACCCTGTTTACCTTGGTGCGAAACTTTCTATTCTCAAGGTAGTTTCTGAGCCAAGATACGAGTGGGTCAGTGAAGCCCATTTCCACAACCTTTTCGATTAGGCGTGCGTGGGGCACTGTGTCAAAGGATATTTCGAAGTCGAGAAATACTACGTGCACTGGTATTTTACGGTCCAAGCAGGATGTCCAACTGTCCCATGCGATGAGAAGATAAGATGCACACGACCTGCCTTTCCGAAACACGCGTTGAGCTACATGGAGTATTTTATTTTTACCCATGTACTCCCTCATTTGTTCGTCCACTAGCCCTTCCATAACCTTTGATAATAGAGGTAGTAGTGCGACTGGTCTGTAACAGGCTGGGTCCTTTCTATCTCCTCCTTTGAAGATTGGAGAGAGAGTAGCTTGTTTCCATTCCGCTGGGAATTGGTGTGACTCCAGTGAATGCCTCAACAGGTTGCATAACGGTGAACAGAGGGCTTCAGCGCACTGTTGCAAGACTATAGGGCGGATGTTGTCACAACCTGGTGACTTACCTGGCCGTAAGGATTTTAGGTTCCTTAATACAAGGTCAGGAGTGATACGGATGTTCCCTAAGCCGTCAGCTGGCATTGGGTTGGCGTAATACTCTGAACATGTAGGCGCCTGGTTTAATTGATCAGAAAAATGGGTGTTGAAGATTTCGGCCATCTCTAGGTTGGTGAGGTCTTCTCCGTTAGGCCCTTTTAGGGGGCACAACCCTTGATTAGTATGTTTTCTTTTGGACATGAACCTAAACAGATGTTTCGGGTTTGCCTCTATTCTGGCGGCTAGTATCGTCTGGAATTGTCTCCTGTCGCTTCGAACTTTGGTATTGCATCTGTTTCTCAATGCCAAGTAAGAACTGCGATCGGAATCCTTCAAGGAGACCTTCCACTTGTGCCAGGCTTTCCTCTTCACCTGTAGCAAGCGTTCCGTGCCGCGCCTAACCCAGGTTCTTCTGTTCTGGCGTTTTGGGTGTGACTGAGGTACGTTGTCTACGACAGCGTTTCGGATGATATCTCTCACTGCTTGCCAGTGATCATCTACTGTCAGCCTCCGCCACTCCTGTGGCCATGGGGCATGTAGGAGCACCTCTCTCATACGTGTGTAGTTTGCCCTACTGTAGCAGAGGTAAGGCTCGTTATCGTCCGGTGTCAGCGTTTCGTTTGTGATCATGTTAAACAGGACTGTGCCATGGTCACTACTACCTATTGGAGCGCGGATGTTAACATCCTCAACCAGGAGCTGGTCGTTCGTTAACAGATAATCTAGGTTTGAGGACTTCCCTTCCTTAGTCCACCTGGTGGCGCTGCGTACATGCTCAGTCATGCCACAGCTTCTAATCCAACATTCAATATATTTTTCACAAGCTAGTATAAACAGACTGATTTACTCAGGCTTGATTCTTGTTTTTTCGATATAGTTCCAGATGTTTGGTGGTGTCCCATAAATGAGGGTCTAGCCATTCGACTTTCTAATTCTAGTCAGTCGGCAGTTGATTGTGAGTTTGTATGTCCCGTGATTTGAATGAATACGCTTGTTTCAGAGCAGTGGGGTTTCTGGATACCAATAACTATCACATTAACTGACCGGAGATCAGTTAGTTGCAACGTGGATAATAATAGTGAGAAACTTCTAATGCTAATAAGAAGAGGATTTCAGGACTAATTAATATAAAGATAATTTAGTTTATTAACTGGTAGTGAAGATTTTCAGCGAGAACCGAAGTGTAAGCAAGGGAGAGGAAACGGAGATAATATGCGATACATTGTCAGTGATCTGTGGATATGGCATAATAACTACTAGCAAGTCTCAAAGCATTCATCAGGCACAGCTGTTCCACGAGGGAAATGATAACCCGTATGCGCTTACGTGTTTATAAAGTCCCTTCTTAAAGCTCTCCAATGAGGAGGCTGTTGCCACCTCGGATGAGGGAGCATTTCAAGCTGCGACGACTCTCAATGAGGAAAAGTGTGCACGAACCTGATTGTTCGCTCTTTGTTCGAGGATTGCATTAAGGGGAGTGGTGGTGATGCATCGGTAAGATGCTCACGCTCGAATTGTTTGGCGTGCTTAATATTTTGTACGCCATGACCAGATCACCTCTGATCCTCCTGTAACTCATTTGGAGTAATCTCAAGTGTTGGAGAATATTTTCGTAAGTTTTATTCTTCAACCCTATCATCCATTTCGTTGCTCGTCTCTACACTAGATCCAAGAGATTTGTCTCTTATAAGCAGAGGGGCTGCGACGACGCTGTGAACCTCCAGGATTGGGCGCGCGTAATCTTTAATTAACGTTAAGAATAATTGTGGGTTGATAGCACCAATTTGTCTCTGCATAAAGTGAAGAGTAACATTTGCCTTAGATGGGTGGTTCGGGCTTGTGTGGAGGCTTTCTCTGGTCATCAAACCGAGATCGCTCTCTTAGGAGACATTAGGGGGTGGAATTCCATTTAGGGTGTAAATAGTTTTCTTCATGTGGGGCAGGATGTACATGACGTGACACTTCAGTTGGTTTAGTTTTAAACCGTTTTTCACTGCCCATTACTCAATGAATGTAAGGTCCTTTTGAAGTCAGTTGAATCTTATCCGCTTCTAATGGACCTCCAGATCTTTGTATCGTCTGCGTAGATCAATGCCGGTGTGCTAACTGTGTCTAACAGGTCGTAATAAATATCAGGAATTTCAATTGAGTGATAATGTTGAGGAATATGTGTATGGATAGCATTTTCGGCATGTGATGGATGCACACCGATCCCTCCTTCAGTAGGTCACAAGATTTTATTAGTTTGTAGTGAAAATTTAGCGGTCTGCGTAATTAGTACATTCAGTGATCCAAACTGCCATTTTTTTCCTCTGCGTTGTCCTAACATAGTCAAAAAAGGAGTCGATATTTCTCATTCAAAGTCACTCCTCAGTATCTTTCGTACAGAAACAATTCTACCTCGTGATCTTCGATGAGCTGAGTAAAGATGCACGACTTTGACAGCCACACAGTGTATGAAATTTCGAAATACATGAATTGTTTAGGTATTCGGGTTATGCACTTCTTTGGATTATCTGCGTCGAAATTCAAACGAAGTCTGAGTTTCTGGGTTCGGCTTTTTGGTTTGGATAAAATGAAGGCTATGTGCACTACGGTGAACATATTTATACACAGTTTGGTGAATACATATTTCAACGACCAAGATGTTTTAAGCCCTTTAGCGACAGTTGTATGGCAATTAGCCGTGTTCTAATTGCCCTTAATAGCCATTAGCCCCAGATCTTTGTGAGTCAAGACTAAAGGCTCAGGAATTTTCCACTCAAGGAAGTTACCTGCAACTCCATCTGGACCACATCTACAGAAACGTCCAGTTCCAGAAATAGATAACCGAGGATGACTCAGCGGTTGGTTTGCATTCCAACCCAGTAGAAGACAGTTTTAGTATAAGAACCAACCAGAAATAATTGTTTAGACCGTTCACACTCTAGCTTTGGAGTCGGAAGGTCTTCATTTACAAGAGTAATAACGCTACATCATGAAAATCAGGCCTCTTCCAAAGCCATAGAACTGACACCCAGAGCGTAAATTGACCTTCTTAAAGTGGACGTCCAAAAATGTGAGAAGGGAAAGGAACATTCAAATGGTACAGTAAATGCGAAGATACCACGTCGTGATCGGTGTAATTCGAAGAAACACAGAAAGCAGTCATTGGATGGGTAACTCAAGGACCATGTATCAACAAAGCATCCTTTAAAAAAAAGGATAAGGACACTACAGTCAACGTCTCCGATTGTTGTGTCCCGAACTAGATTCCAGTTAAGGAAGAGATTAGGAAAAAGTGCTGGAGGTGAATAGGACATAAACTGAGTAAAGCACCCAATTGCATCACAGGTCAAGCCCTCATTTGGAATCATCAAGCCGATGGAAAATAGGAACACACTACGTCGAAAAATTGAGACAGACATGAAAAGATTGAACAGCATTTAAACAAAACTATAAGGGACGGCACAGGACAAAGAATGTTAGATGTTGGTCGACGGTCTATGCTCCTTTAAGAGTAACAACAGAAAGTAAGTAAGTATCTGATGCAGATGTGAAGACACAGATTAGCATAGCAAGGGCAGCACTTCCACAATTTGATAGGACCATAATCGTTAAAGTAAAATAACCACGACTGTTACAAATAACTCGTCAACGCAGCAGAATTAATTCGCAGTCAGCAATATGAAGTATTATATCATGACAGATTGAAAGAAATAATTATGAGTTGCATGAACTGAATAGTTGTTATCATCAGTGTCTGCATAACGAATTCAATCAACAACGATTTGAACAGATGCTGGTAGGAGATTATTTGCATCTAGCTATCACTGTAATGCTTGTACAAATTAACCAATAGGATTGCAAATATTAGTCTGGCGCGGTTTCCAACTATCGACAGGCTGTTATTTTTGGCATGATTGCAGTTGCATGTAATTCCAAATCAGTTCGTATTGTAAATCTACCCGAGTGTAAATTACATGATACAAGTAGTCCATGTACTTACGATGAATATGATTTACCTAATGACGATTTGAGTATTCAACCTATAAAGAGCTCGCAAAGCATTCATTCATCCCCGTTACTGAAAAATATTTTTCCTTTAAACTTGTTAGAATTTCATTATTTGTACGATGCTTCTGTGGATCAAGTTTTTGCTGCTTATCTAGTTCGCTATCTCAGGCGCCTCAAAAGCTTACCGGCTGTATTCCTTCCATGTCGGGATCAACGAGCATTATGTGATAACCCTATGTAAGGTACCTTTTTGTATTATGCTGTTATAGGTGGAAAGTCGTTAGTGGTCGTCTGGTTAAATCTATTGTAATTGAAGAATCTATGGCATGGCTCTCAACACTCGGTGGTGGGTATTCTTCACTCGGAGATCAAAGTGATTATGCGGTAAAGTGATTTTTTTGCCTAACTCAATTAGGCGAGTTTGGCTGGGACAGTTTCACTTTTTCAAATGAGCCTTGCATTAGAAATTAACTCGCCTATGCTCCTAGCAAAGTCTCAACTCTGGTTTGCTCAAAGTTTAATGCAGAGGGGATTCCTAAAACATTCAGCTAAGATATTAAGGTAAATATTATATACACTGGTGTTTGACTACTCTGATTCTGCTAAATTTTACACATTACATATATATATGGGTCTGTTAATTGTGAACTGTTTACTATCATGGTTGTAGTGGTTAGTACCCTAGAAGCTGCCGTGAATGTGGGGAGTCCATTCCCTTTCGAAGTACTTTCATATGGCCATCAGTATTTAATCACTGCCAGATAAGTCTTACTCTCTATCTTCTCGTTTCGGAGGTGTTGTTTACGAAATTAAGAGGACAGAAAATGAGTTCTGGTGCTTCATCCAGGTAGGATACGAAGCATCTATCGATGGTGCGAACAGGCTCCGTGGTCCAGATCGAACTAGTGGCATACGAACCTGTTGTTAGTCACTGACTGTGACGGAATTGCATCTCCTTACATTAATCTGATGGTGAACCATCATCAGGATCGATTTTTTCAAGTGGTGTTCGTCAGGGTTGTCCGCTTTCTCTGTTCTTATTTAACTTATTCATAGACATGCTATTAGAGATAACATTACCGTCGTCTGACCTATAGAAGTTGACCTTCTACCAAGAGTTCCACTTATTGTCTCAGTATCGGCAGATGATACACTTCTGATTCATGAAAACTCTGACAAGATGCAGTCTTCTAACCACCTTAGGCAACAACTTAAGCATGTTCGGGATGCGGTTCTCCCCCTCGAAATGCAAAATGTTGCTTCTAGATCGGGTTGCATCAGTACCTAAACTGGTGATAGGTAGTGATGTAGGTGAGCGTGTTGACTGCTTCACTTATCTGGGGAGTCTCTTCAGTGCTGAGGGTCTGGTGACTGATGAAATCTCGACACGGATACAGAAGATTCGATTGGCTTACACCAACTTGGATCACTTATGGGGTAAGCGAGATATCCGTTCATTAACCAAAGGACGAGTTTACTGCACAACAGTTCACTCCGTCCTACTTTACGGGTGTGAAAAATGCCTGATTAGAGTTGAGGATATTCAATGGTTACCAGAATGCAGTCATAGGTGTCTTCGAAGGTTGTTTGTGTATCCTGGGACCAAGTAAGTAACCTTCTGAGTTCCTCATGACCTTTATCTCCCAGATTTAATTCATTAGGATATGCTTGTCGGATCATATCACTGATCCTCAATCTTTTCGATTAACTCTAATACTGCTAGATTCCATATGCTAATGTATGGCAACTTGAACTGATGTACTTACGTATTAGGTTCTACTCCGTAGGTACTCACAAATTCAATAATTAATGTGCCGCATAAATAAGCTAAATAAATATTTAGTTGCCCCTTTGTATCAATGTCGGTTCAATAAAAATAACTGACTAGTACAGATCATAAATTCTAGTACAGTTTCCTGTAATTTTACTCTGAAATCTTTCCTCTCCAAAACATGATCGCCATTGCAAACAATTTCGAACCATGTCATTCCAAGTCTTGAGCCACCGGTCACATTTGTCTCGCGGACCCCAACCAGTTAGTCTACACCTAACATAACTCAGTGCAGTTGTCACTTCATGTACCATTCAGTTTCCCATATCAGTTATGTAGTACTAGGTGCTTTTGAACCAGTTTCATATACGTAATTGGCTAGTAAAATCTCCAGATAATCTGAGTTGGCATAATTAGTGACTAATTCCCTTCTTAAATTAAAACAGTACCCGTTTTTACCTTGTAAATCTTTATAACTAGGATCTAGCAATATAACAGTTATTCATGTAAAGATTAATAATTTATTCCCGTCTTGTTTTTGTTGCATATAAGTATTGGCAATAGGATACTAAAGTTTAAAGCGCGATTCCACTGCTGGTTCTCTAAAAATCTATCTACTCATAATATTTCCACTCCTTTTTTAACATTCGGCTTCAGTAGCCAGTGGTGTTTTATGCGAATTGTTTGAAACTATTCACATCTCAATTTTCGCTATAACTTTCATAAAAATTTCCGGTGTTTTTGTATTTTCTTATTACAGACGAATATTTATAATGTGGAGACCTCTTATGAGACCTGATTTTTCATCTGATATGCGCATAGATTATATGGCCCTTGGTTTATGGGCACGTTTACGTCACTTATGGAAAACAAAACATAAAATGAAGTCAAATATACCCATTCCGTTGTCAGTGGATAGTAATTTACTTTTACTGTATCCACATGTTAATGCGTTAGTCAATCGGCTTAAAATATAAAGATTTGTATACTTTTCAGAATATGTATATTTAACTACTTATTCTACTTTCAGATGTTTGCCTTTTTCACAGTCCTGACAAATACTATTCATGATTTATGTTAGTAGCGTTTTTTTTTTATTTTATTGCTTCTGTCACTTGTTAAATTATCTTGTGTACATCAATTTATTTTTCGAGGTTTTTATGTGGCCTTATCACTACGAATTATACTCAATAATGGTTTTATAATTATAAGTAATGGGTTGAGTTATAATCCGTGTTTCTACTAGATACTGATGTTGAAACTTGAATTGTTCATCACAAAGTCATGGAGAAATCTAAACTAATTTGTCGATTATTACTTTACTCTTTGTTTACTAAAGTGTATAAAATTAACTGACTTATTATAAGATACACTTTTTTCATACCAACGATGTTGTTAGTGATTCATATGAGTTTATTATTTTTCATTATTACCTTGAAAGTATAAAATATTGATCTAACGCAGATGTCAGGATATAGAATTGTTTTCTATAAAAATGACTAACGTATTTAAATCAAAAAAAAAATTTGTCTCTGGGATTTTTGTGGATCCATGAGTTGTGTTGAAAATTTTATGGGCATAATGACTTAAGATTTACTTCACTTGAAGTTTACCAAAAACTTAAATGGCTCTGTCTCTGCTCAAGCTTCCATAGCCCATGCTTCCACAATTCTGATTTATATCCACAGTTAGCTCGAAGTACGGTAATTAAACGGTCAATTCCTGCTTGTGTCATAAATAATCACTAGCTTTTCATTTATTACATGAGCGTCGAGTTCGCTCATGAGACAATTTCTAATTTTAACCCAATCACAACTAATACATTATGGTTTTATTGTGTCACCAATGTTTGTTTTGTTCTCTAGATACGTAGCATGACTAATTTGGTTATGCTGCTCTTGGATTCACTAGGATAGCAAATCCAGGGTCATTTTAATCCAAAAGACAGTTTAATGTGAATATATGTTTTGGAGATATTTCTACAACACAATAATTAGTCTAAGCTAGGATTCACATTTAGGATGGTGGTTTCAACAACAGTTCGATATGTTCGGATAAATAAAACGTGTATCAACAAGAGAACAGTTAGCTACTAACCAATAAATTTCTGGTTACTTATGAGTAACATGATAACATACGCTCACCTGGCATTCCACCATTTACAGTGTTTGCAAATAAAATCTCATTAATTTAGACAAGTAATATTCCTTAGCCATAATCTAGTGTTCTTTTGAAAAATCCATTTCCATATTTTGGGACTAATATCTTTAAACGAACGATAAACATCGAAATAGTTTAATGTGGCTGAAAAAAAACATGCTTATACGGTAAACTTAACTGTATACACTAAATACCTGTTTCGTGCTAGTTAGCATCAACTCATGTATGGTCAAATATGATCTGCGAAAAAATCCAAGTTAAATGATGCAAGATTAGGTTAATACCCAATGACAGCAAATGGAATATGCCTAGTTAATGCTAGTAGTTCATTCAGTAGCCTGTAAAAGCTAACCACATCGATAAATAATATCAATGTACCCTTATATCAAAGTTTCAGTTATGAGCTATACATTTTTAAGTCAATCGGTACAGAAATAGAATAAGCACCCACAGATGATATCAAATGGGGATAATAAAGCTCACCAGGTTTCTACTCAGTAGCTAAATAGTATCACGTCACAACCTTGATTTTATCTCATATAAAATCTGTGGAAAGCATACTTGCAGTATTCCAAAACGAAACAACTTTTTGGTTTGTTTCAGAGCATTATGTAAAAAAAACCAAGCAAAACAAAATTGAACTGCACGGTTACCATGTAAAAATAACTTTTGGTTTTCTGGAGTAATTGTATGGTTGAAAATTTCCGCTAGTTATCTTGGGTGACTAAGATAAGAAAAAACGCTTTTCAATCTAATTATAGTCAAAGTGGAGAAGACTGAAATGCTTGACTAATTTTGGAATGAACTTCAGTTGATCAGTAACTCTTGGTGTACTATTGTTAATAATTTTGACACCGGTTATAGTCTTGTCTTTTAGTTATGATTATTGTTGTTCCTTTGTAATAAACACAGTCAACATTTTATTATCATGTGTCCACAATCGAAACAAATAAGAAATAGAGAGTTATTGGATTGCTCACCGGTAATAAAACTTCACTCTGAGACACCGGAGTTCAGGTTCACTTCACTTTAATTTCAGCCACCGGCTACACTAGTTCTGATATGATATTAGTCAAAACTGAACCTGTACTTAGTTACGAAATTAGATCAGTTTTCAAAATCCTGGGCTGTATGAGTTTAGATGCATGAAATAACGTGAATCGTTTACGGTTCATTCAACTTGTTAGAAATAGGTAATTTAGTCGTCATTATATCCGTAACTTCAAAAAAGGAAGTGATCTGTGTTTCGATACTTTAAGTTATAATGTCAGTTCAAGTTGATATATCTGAAATCAGTACTTCAAGAGAATAACAGGACAAAAACATTGGAAGGATATCCAACAAGAAACTAAGTATGAGAGAATAAATTAAATCGAGAAATATTGAACAATGTTACAGTCACAATTTGGAAAATAAATGTTACTGCAATAATATTGATCCCCGTCAAACAACTATAGATGATGACGACTGTATAAATTATTGATTTTTCCGCTCTTTTAGTAAATCTCAGTTTTCGATCAAGTCTACTCTAATCGATGTGCTTCCATTGACATAACGTATCATATCCAGTATGGACTCATTGATAAGGGTGTAAATTGTTCTCAAAGTAGTAGTCAAGGTTCATTCTTAATACCTCCCAGGTCTCTAAGACCATTACTAGTCCAACTTCCTTCCCAGATTCCTCATGAAACACCCTTCTACGGTGTGGGCAAGGGGGAAAATAACACCCGCCTTCATACTCGTAACAGCATACGAGATCGAACTGGTCACAATTAAATCCGTCCTGTACCACTTAATAACCCTATTGCCTCCATGACTAAACCTCCTGACATTCCTTTATCACCTGGCGCCGCTGATGTAAGTTATTCAAGTACACGAAACGTTATTCTCGGTCTCCTGAAACGCCGTTCTAAACTACATTTTAGAGCTTGTAATGTTTGAACCTTGTACCAAATAGGACAACAGGATTCCTTAGCTAGGACTCTGGAATCTCGAGCCATCAGTGTATGCTGCGTCTCCGAAACGCTCATACAGGATCTTAGTAAAGTCATTCATTCGATCTCACTTTGTCAAGATAAAGAACCATCTCGATTTACTCTTCGTGTAACTGGAAATCCCACTTCTGCTTCCCATAGTCTCGCTGGTTTAGATATAGGATTAATTTCTAAAGTAGAAGTAGCTCTTCTTAGACTGTATCCCTTTAGATACTTGCTTGTGTGCTGTCTGACTAGACGGGACAGTAAGGACTCGGAAAGATACGAACACTCGCCGTTGGCTCTTGGTCGTCTCTGCCTATGAACTCACTGACTACAGCTCCGAGGACCTTTGCAGAAAGCATTCTGACCTTCCAAAATTTAGACGATCGAATGTAGTAATAGTGGTTGGTGACTTTAATACTCAAGTAAGTAGACTAAACGAAACGGAAAGACACCTGGGTGGATCTTATGGTGTTGCAGATCAAAAACATAATTAGTCAGACTATCTGCTGCAGCTATACTCAGATAACCACCTAGGTCAGACGAATACCAAATTTAAACACAGAACATTTTTCGACATGGAGACCCCCAAAATCGATTCACTGCTGGACCCAACTAGACCACATCGCTATCAGCCGTCGATAAAGAGGCTTGCCAGAAGACTCGTTCTGGAGATGTTTAGATTCAGATCATGCTCTAGTACTAGCACGTATTTTTCTGCGTCTTACTGGATGTAGGAAAGACACTGCAATTATATCCCTTGGGTTTCTACTAAACGCTAGCAAAGCTGAGTATATTTCAGGAGGAGCTAGTAAAACAGTAAGGGCATCAACGTAAATGATGCCCACCCCCAGGCGGCTTGGAACAAAATCCAAAAAACCGTGTGAACAGTGACGTCTGTCAATGAGGTAAACCATAAGGCTAGGGGAAAACAGTGTATTTCAGTAGAATCTACCGAAGTGGTATATGCTTGGAAACTCATCCAATCTGGCTCTGAACATGATGAGTAGCCGATTCGGCTTAGGCGCACAATGATAAAAAGCCTATGCGATGATCGCGAGCAGTGGTGGGTAGCGAAAGTAAGAGAGACCTACAAGACAGTGGCAATAGGCAACAGTAGACAACTGATCAGACTTATCAAGGAGACCGGCATTATGAATCCAACTGTAAGTGAGACTATCTCGGAAAAGGATGGTCTTATTATTCATTCTCAACCCAAGAGATTGGATCGCTAGGCAGAATACTTCAGGGATCAATTCAACTGGCCCTCAGCCACACTTCAGTAACCCATGATCTCCAGCCAACCTGAATTTCGAATTGATGCAGGTCCTACAACTCGTAACGGGGTTGAAAAGGCTATAGGAAATAAGCGTGGGAGAGCAGCAGACTGTGTTAGGGTAACCCATGAGGTTTTTAAGAATGGAGGTTCAGTTTTAACAGTTAGATTGACTAGGACCTTAATTACAATCCGGGAGCTGGACGTAATCTCATCCGACTGGTCCCAATCACCGATTGTCCTAATCTATAAGAAAGGACAACAATTCACTTGCGACAATCATAGAGGAATCCGATTAATTAAGGTGTCCAAAATACTAGTTTTAATAATACTTCGACGCGTAACTGGAGCTAGCCAAGGACAGACTCGAGAAAATCGGGCGGGTTTCAGACCTGGTTGTGGATGTATAGACTACGTATTCACACTTCGTCAAGTGTTAGAACATGGACACACATTCAGGTACTCGACAGTAGTTGTATTCCTTGTCTTTAGGGCGACATTTGAATTTGTCGACCATGAGGTTCTATGGCAGTGTCTTTCATTGACAGGTGTATCAAGGAAGTACATTGACCTTATACAGGCTCACTACTCGAACTCAAGTGAAAGTTTATGGTGAACTTTCATCAGAACCGATTTCTTCAAGTGTTGTTCGTCAGGGTTATCCACTTTCTCTACTCTTATTTAACTTAGTCATAGACATGTTTATAGAGATCATACTATCTTCGTCTGACTTATAGAAGTTGACCTTCTACCAGGAGTTCCACTTATTGACTCAGTATCGGTAGATGACTGTTCTGCTTAGTGAAGACGCTGACAAAATTCAGTCTTCTGATTACCTTTGGTAACAATACAAGCATCTAATGAACTTGGATTTGATAATGAATGCATCTAATGGTTATACCTAACTCCGAATTGTATGTTCCATTCTAATTGCAACTGAGGTTGAGCTGACACTGTCTAAGACAAACTGGCAAATGCCTTAGCTACGATCTGCTTTGTCGTTTCTACTGATGAAACTACTCGATCTTAAATTTAATAATTAGTTCTGGAATATGAGTTTTGTAAAACTATATGATTTAACAAAAAAAATCGACCTGTACTTCACTGTACAATATTTCGTATATCATTATTTTCCTTGTCATTAACCACTTTCTCTTTTCTGAAGGTTTAGTAATTCACAGACAAAACTCATTACATTTAACGTATTACAATTTCATTGTAATGATTTCTAAGAAAATCTAACCTAGAATATAGTTCATTATCTATATACATAATTGTGTCATTTTAAACCTTAATCAAATTATTTAATTTACAGATAAATGAATACGAATGTACTTTAAACGTAATCATGCTTTTATTACACTTAATTAATCTTGACTTAATTCAATATCCATACAGTTTCTATCTACTGGAAAATGTGCACCAAAGCTGCCTTCTCACAAGGAAGGAAGGGTTAGAAAAGGTCGACCCTAAAAATGTCACACCTCACCCTACCTCACGGATTTCCATCTCCGGTGGTAAGGGTGCCCACTAAGGGCTTTTAAGAGCGGAACTAATACTCAAAAAACCTTTCCTAAAAAGGCCGTTCGTGACCGGCCTCAAGCAGTTGTCCCCTGGGCTTTGCGGTCACGCACCCAGGTCTCTAAGACCAACACTAATCTACCTTCCTTTTCAGGTTCCTAAAGAAACAACTTTCCACGGTGCGGGCAGCCGGGAAGTGACAACCGCCCTCATAACCGTAACAACACACGATACTTACTGGAATTGTACACAATGTCCAATTAAATCATTTCAAAACAAAATGCTAGCTATTTTTCATTCATATTAATGTGCAACCTTTTTGATATCCGCGCCTGATTTATTAATATAATCACTCAATTAATGTATGAGCAGTATTATTTCATTATTGTTACTATTACTATTATTGTCATAACTGGAAAATAAATCTTTGTAAAACTTGTAATTATAAATGCAGCCTTAAGTGAACATATAATCCTTGATAACCAACTGTTCGGTCAAACAAAATTCGTTGCTAAATATTACTGTGAATAAAAAAGTAAACCCGATTTTTCACTAGCAACTAACTTGAAGACAGTTTGCTGAATTTCCGGTAGAAAGTACTGACTGATGTAGCCCAGCCATATCAACCTCGAGATATTAGACAATTCTAGCGTTACACATTTTTGAAACCATGAATCGATCAATGTTAGATCACCATTAGAAACCTGGAAGCACTGGACGGCCGTTTCGTCCTGGTATGGGACTCCTCAATCTTCACAACCCCATAACGCAAATTCTAGCGTTGTTTTGTGGTACTGACTAAAGTTAGGAGGGTGGAACATTGGATTGAGATCGGTGTAAAAGCATGGCTGAATGATACGAGTAGTCAGTAAAATCTAACCTATCTATACTCCTTTTTGTGATTGGTTAAAATAGCATGAATCCAACATTCATGTCTCACTTTTTATAGTTCGGGCACATAGTTTATTCGGAGACCACCATAGGACAAACAAGAGCATCTGCTAAATTCATATGATCACCTTTTTCGGGTCACCTATTTCTAGCTCTGTGTTCAAAGTCAAACTAGTGTTCATTATCGACTTTAACCATCCCCACCCCAGGCACACAGCTCTTTCTACTAACCTGGATTATCCGAAAGCGTACCATGATGAACCGCATTTTTTAAAGCTTATCATATCTACTACAAAGACTAGTCAGCTGTACAATACTAGTCATTTTTTTTAAAAGAGAAGACTTATGGTTATTATATTAATATCAATTTATTATTAGTTACCATATTATTATTTCAGTAAAAACATTGTACATAATTTTAGAAAATAAATTTTTTAAATATATATTATCATGTAAACAAGAATTTATCTAATGAAAATGGTTAAAACAGAAAAAAAAATTGCAAATATATTACGCTTATAATAAATTTAGTTAATCAATTATAATAATCTACCTATAAGAAACATTCATCTATCTCTATGACGACAAGTCCTTCGCGTATGCTATATTAAAGTTCTCTATTAGTAATAACAGAAGAATAATCATCATTAACAGCAACCGTCTTGTCATCATACAATGTTGATGATAACACTTTTAAACTCTCCCAATTATCTTCTTGTAATCCTAGCAACTCAATCAAACGAACTTCTTGTACATGTGGATGACTTTTTCGATAGGCTTGAAATAATTGATTTTGTAATCGTATAAGAATCAATTTTTCCAATGGTTCATCATGAATAAAATCACATCGTCTGCCATAGTTACATGTTCCAAAAACATGAAAACTACAACATATTTCAGTTTTATACCGTGGATGACGTGGTGCAAATCTAAGTTCATTAATTCCATGCGCAAATTGGCATTTATCACCATAACTGCAATCTCCACTAGAACTGTTTAAATAACGTTTACACAATTCCGTTTTATAATGTCGACCTTTTCGAGGTATTGTACTACTACAAGCTTCAATATCATATTTCTGTGAATAATTTTGTTCTAGGAAATTAAATTTGATAGATGAAAAAGGATAACCATTCATAAGTGTATCATGATTTTCAAAATTTTCCAAACTATTTTCAGTATTTTGATCATTTAAATCGTTCATTATTTTTCTGTCAAACGAATAACTTGATTGGCCAAACAGTAAATTCGTTAAAACTGAACTTCCGAAATGGTCATCATCTGAATAAAGCTCTTTGTATGTTTCATCATGTACAGCTCGTGTATGCTTCTCTAGCTCTTTTTGAAGATCATCGAGTTGTTTTTGATTCGGTGCAGAATAAGTAATGGTTTGATAAGTGTCATTTGTAACTTTTGGAATATTCTCAATACTCTTTTTCAATTGTCTAATAAGAGATGAACCTTTGTCAATATTCTGCTTGTCATCAGTATTTCCAAGTGGTATTGAAGAATGGATCAATTCACTATTTCTTTCCATATTGCTACAACATCGACTTCCGAATCTCTTCTGAATAAAATGAATGTAAAGTTTGTGTGAATGATTCTTGACCTGTGAGCACTAATCAGTAAAATCGATAAATTTTCTAATAACAAAAGTAACAGTGATTACTGCTCAGTGAAATAGAAAGTCAGTTCATAAAATTAGAATATACACGAGCTTGATAATCAATCTTAACCAGGACAGTGAATTTAAACAAAACAGGTTATTTCAATGATTGATTAACAATCAAAATAACTTGATGCGAGTATGTCACATGTCACTCGTATGTAAAATCTCTCACTACAGGTTAACCAAGAAATTAATGCTATTATTTCTGTTACTGCAATCAATAATTTGCTGTCATTTTTTCACTGGTTGCAGATGATTAATTAGTAGATTTTGGATCTTCATTCTTGGTGTGTTACCTTTCACCGGCATATGAAGTTCCAAGATTACCACTGTTGGGGATGTTAGAACCCCTCAGAACTCGCTTGATAAATGCCTTATTTTGGATTTCACATTTGCCAGCATGGACTGATCACTTGACCTTGAGGTTTCATTTCCCACCAGCAAAATCCATGACTGTGATTGGCTGCTGTGTATTTTAGTGTGCTATTTTCGTAACTGTCCCAAGGACGTTTCGATGATGTATAAATAAACGAGAGTTGTATGCTTGATTGTATTGTGATTGCTGGGTGTTTGTAGAATATACTTTCTACGCTTACCAAGACTTCTGTTTAACAGTTTGGGATTCAGGGTAGCCTACATGGACTCTGGTTCATTGTCTCGTTCGCGTTTATCGACTAAGGTGAACTCGTAATCGCTTCAAGCGTACCAAGTGACGAACATAACCACCACTCACATATTTACGTTCAGAATCTAGAACGTTCCTTACACTGAATAAATAAAAAAACTGATGACATTTAAATGGTGAATTATCTCTTCTCATACTATGTAGCATACACTCAGGTACTGGCTACTTAGTAATCAGTGTAACATTTAAGTTGTCAGTATTAATCAACAAATGTAAACTTCATGTGTATAAGTCATGATGAAGTTACTGTATTCAAACTTACATTTGGCAATCTAGTGAACACATTTCACTTTGTAATCTATGAGAATAAATCATTGTTAGTTTTACAAATAGCAGTCATTCAGGATGTATATCATATTTTTCTTAAAAATGATAATTATCTATCATATATAAAATATGATCAGTGATTGTTGATATCCATTAATGAAATAGAGTGCAATGTAAAACTGATTAGTTTAATTAATTTATTCTTAATGATTCAATAATTAACTGTAACTATATTTGCATAATGGCTAGCAAATGACTTCAGTACTTATTTTTATTCTACGCATAAACACTTGTCAGTTAGATTAATTAGGTACTACACTAAAGTTGAACTTAGACCTCATTGTTTTAGATTCTTGAATATGAACAATAGGGTTAAATGATTCAATAAATGATAAATATCGATGACAGTTTTCCATTTTAAATAAATAGGACATTTCTCAAAAATTAATTAATGATGTACTACAATCAAAAATCAGTTATTCAGCTTAATTTCCAATTGAAAAATGAATTAATTAATGTTGAATACAAATCAGTTATTGCCTTAAATGGGGGAATATTCTTGACTGAGAACTAACTAATTCTCTGTCTAATTATTTATTCAACAGTTTTAAATCTCATTGTGATGAATTATCATTTTAAAAAAAGTTCTTAAAAAAAATTATGAACGCAAACTCACTAAATTTACTCAAGGACCATTATTTATGTTAATAAGGACACTAATGTGTCAGTTCTAACTGATCAAAAAAACGAAAATCAGAGGATGAGAATAAAAAATCTTTTTTTTTCCAATAAACACATAATTAAAAAGTATTGTTCAAAATGTTTCGCTAATATGAAGTTATCATGCTGTTGTATACAGACAGTAATTAGGAATGAAATCATGTTTATGCACATTTTATGCTTTAATATCTTTCATAGAATTATCAACTTCAAACTTTTTTTTCAAATGTAGATAATGTTTTTAAATGATCTGCAACGGTATATAAATCTACAAAGTAAATAGCCTTGTAAGTACTCGACATTGATGATGACCTTATTAAGTTTAATGTACATGCTCCTAGATGAAGGTGTTCGGTCAATCATCCTCATTAGATCATGTTCAGGTATGCTATGCTATGCATCTTTTACAATGACTAGTTAGCTTGAACTGTATACAAATCAACCATTATCCAAATATATATATTCACACCCATTCATTCTTGACTTCTGGTTTTGGGGACCTTTTTATGAGAAGAGTTATAGGTTACGTCTTGTCACAACCAAACATTTAGTCAACTTATGATTAAGTTGAAAGTAGTAGAGACTGAAGCTCTGAAAACCGATAGTTGCTTGTTTCGGTCCTTTAACTCCCTTTTTTAGTTGGATCAGTGTGTAGGTTGTGGTATTCTGGCATACCTATGTCATTGGAGCTTCTGAAACAATAAAGATCTAGTGGATGGATTTCCGTATACATTAAAAAAGTTTGCTGAGGGACTGAACAGTAGCATAGAATGATCGGTCGCGTGGGTACTGCGGTAGGATGTAGTTGCAATACTGGTCCAGTTCTGACGGACCAAGTTTTCTAAGGAGAAGGCGCACCTTCCAGGAATCATCTCTGTCAGCCAAATCAACTTTGAGGAGGTCTTCATAACGCCTGAACCAAGTATCAAATGTAATATTGGCGTCAGGATCATAAAGAAACTCTGAAATACTACTGGTCATACCATCAACTGACTGAGGAATAGTAGATGCGACTTGAGAAGAGCTGTGCGTCTGAGTAAGTATCTCCATCAATTTCAGCTGTTGTGCTAACAATTTATTTAATTTAGCCGCATCCATCATAATTCATCAGATCGTTTATCAAAATATCGTCGCCAAATTGTTACTCTCTTCTCTAGGTATGCTTAAACTATTATGAGTTCACCTTAGTCGAATAACGAGAACAAAACAATGAACTAGCGTCCAGGTAGGCTTCTGTGATCCCTTGACCAAAAAATATCAGCAAGAAGTCTTGATATAGCATAGAAAGTGTATTCTACAAACTCCCAGCCAGCACACAATGAATACAAGCACTCAAATCGCGTTTATTTATACACCATAGAGATGTCCTTGGGACAGTCACAAAAATAGCACACTAAAATGACACGATAACCAATCACAGCCAGGGATTTTCCTGGTGGGAAATGTGATCTCAAGGTCAACTGATCGGTCCATAAAATAAATCCAAAATAAAGATATTTATCAAGCGAGTTCTGGGGATCTAACATCCCCAGCAAAAGAATGGACTCATATTATATGAATTGGTGTATCAGATCTTGTTGGACTTATCAAAAATGTCAGAGATATACAGTGCTTGAGAATAATATCATCCAAAACCTCTTATAACAGGATCGCCAAAACCATAAGTTCAGAATGAACAGATGTAAATATATAATTGGATAATGATTGATATGTTTACACTTCAAGCTGACTAATTATCAAAAGAGATGCATAGCATGACATACCCGAACGTGATCTGATGCTGATGCTTACCGAGCTCCTTCAAGTCACGGGTTTGTTCATTAAACTTAACGCAGTCATCATCATTGTCGAACACTTTCAAGGCTATTTATTTTATGAATTTATGTAAAGCTAAAGATCTATGAACAACAATCCTTCTATACAGTTCAGATATTTTTGAGTTTGTAACTGAAATTTTCTTGCGAATTAAAAATTTACATAGCTGGTGAATAATAATTATCATTTAATACAGTAAGTTCTAACTCCTCCTATCAAGAGGCAGTTAGTCAAGATCGATATTCCAGCTAAAAGATAGGTATTCAAAGGCTTTGAAAATCTTTTCGAAACAGTGGAAGCATATTCGAAATAGGTTCCTATCCAAATGTTTTTTGATACTTTCTGGTTTCTGCATGTCTTATGAAAGTTGTGTCAGAGTTTGTTTACCAATTCTACAATGATTTATATTGCCACTGAATCTTGTATTCTCTTTTGAAAGCAGTCAATAATTAATTTTCTGTATAGGGGTTGTTGGGATTGCTGAATTTCACGGAGATGGTGAACCGACCAATGTTGAACCACCACTGAAGACCTTGAAGTCATGTTTCTTCCTAGTATGGAACTCCTCAAATGTGCACACCGATCACCTTAGCCAATATCCAACGATGTTAATGTCTAATTTTAACCAGTTCACGATGATGGTCTAGGTGTAGTGAAGGAGAACACAGGTGAGGGCAACCGAATTGTATTTCTCACAAATTACAGAGTTAATTGGTAAAATAGAAAAACCATATCGTAAATAGTTAATTTGCAAAATATCAATCCATCATATCGAACTGGACTGTCTGTTCCTGTTGCAAAACATCAATCGATTGCCTGACATCTCACTGTTCATGCGTTTCATACAAATCGCATTGTGTTCACACTCTTCCTTTCTTGATCTTCCCCCATCTTCTACTGCCGGACATTACATTTTTACTCGCATCATATACTACTTATAAGTAGCGCGCACCGCATAGGGATTACGTGTTCATAATCGACACCGAAGTTCCCGGGTACGATTTCCGCGTAGAGGATCTTTGGATATGCACCACGGAGGAGTCCCATGCTAGGATAAAAAAGCCATCTAGTAGTTCCAAGTTTCCAATGGTGATCTAACATTGATCAGTTCATGATTTCAATGAAAAACTCAATAATCAATCAACTGTCCTATCGATATTGAAATATTAGTTGTGAGACATTGTTTCAATAACTCCCCCCCGCTTCAATTGTTTTAATTAAACATCCTTATACAAGTTGACTTCAAATGTTATAATTTAATTTGTTTTATGAGTAATTATTTATTAAAAAACATCTGGAATCAATTCTCAACCTTTTAGATTCGTTTTAATTTATAAATACATTTTACAAAGAGAAAAAAAATCCTGTCAAGAGAGAAAGCGGCAGAAAATCTGCCATGTGTCATTAAATTTATGTGGATTAGTAATTCTTCACTTAATTCTCGTTTTCTTTCAATAGGTAGGTGACCTTTTTATTATTATTATTTCACATATGCATGTAATCTCAGCTCTTATCTGTACGTTTAATTTCAATTTAATTATTAATACTT